TGAAAACCACCACCTGGGTGATCTTATGGTCCTACATATGTGCTGCAGTGACTATGGCACCAGAAACCTCATGTCTGCTATGTGTGTTTTGAGGGCCCAGTTTGATACCTGCTGAAATGAATGGAACAAATGGTCGTGAGATCAGGCCTTGGGTTTGGCACACAAGGAGATAACAAAGACATGACAGAAACTTTGCTAAGTACTGGAAAGATAAGTATCATGGTATTTCTGAGGAAGTGACTATGCTAATGACCATTCAGAGAATGACCAGGTTTAATGCAGGAGCTGGGAGAAGCTGAATCTAATGCAAGTGCTTGTACAGCTTATAAAAGCACCGTGCCTTCTCTCTAAACAGCCGGATTCCAGCATGGTTACAAAACATGATGTGATATCAAGAGTTATATCAAAGCCAAAAAGGAGGAGCTACTTCCTCAGAGCCCACCAGATTTGCAGGATCAAGATCAAGGGATTCCCCACAGGGAAACAAAATCCATTTAAACAATTACTTGATATTTTTATCTTCATGATGGAAATTTTGGAGAAAGCACCTAAAAAGCTAACAGTGGTGTTTCTCCACCTGTAAGGGTCAACACTTCTACAAGCGTCTAATGATTCTATGTGAGAAGCTGATCTTGGAGACATTAAGGAGGATTTATAGAGATGTACAGTACAGTCACATAGTTATTTGAATCCAGGCAACTGTTATTTTTGAGGAGCATTTTTTTTTAATTCATAGGATCATAGGAAAGTAGGGATGGAAGGCACCTCACAAGGTCATCTAGTCCAGCCCCGTGCTCAAGTCAGGGTCAGTCCTGACTAAAGCATCCCAGCAAGTGTCTAGCCAACCTGCTCTTGAAAATTTCCAAGGGGGGAAAGTCCACAACCTTTCTAGGGAAATCTAAAGAGGTTGTGGAATTTCTATCTTTGGAAATGCCTGACCACCCTTTTAGACAGAAAGTTCCTCCTAATCTCCAATCTAACTTTCCCCTGCTGCAGCTTGAGCACATTGCTCCTAGTCCAGTCCTCTATGGCCACAGAGAAATTCCCATCTCCATTTTCCCTATAAACGCCCTTCATGTATTTGAGGCTGTTATCAAATCCCCCTTTACTTTTTTCTTTTCCAGAATAAAGGATCCTTACACATTAAGTCGTGCTTCTCAGGTCCCTAATAATTTTGTAGTTCTGTGCTGAACACAGTATTCCAGGTGAGACTGCATCAGTGCTGAATAAAGTGGAAGAATCCCTTGATTTGCAAGTGACACTCTTGTTAAGACAACCTGGCAAGCTGAGACGAGCAGATTATCAGCTCATATTCAGTTTATGGTCTACTGTAATCCCCAGGTCCTTCTCTGGAGTACTGCAGCCTAGCCAATTATCCCTGCATTTGTATTTGTGCATGCAATTATTTCAACCAAGTGCTGGACTTTGCACTTCTCCTTGTTGAATCTCAGCCAATTGAATGTGGACCATTTTTCCAGTTTGTCCAGGTCATTCTGGATCCTAGCCTTGTTTTCCAGATTGTCTACAACTCCATTCAATGTTGTCACCTGTGAATTTGTTAAATGTGTACTTGGTTCCATCATCCAAATCGTTAACAAAGATGTTGAACAATACCAGACCCAGGATGGATCCCTGAGTGACCTCACTTTATATCTCCTTCCAACTAAACATTGAACCGTTGATGACTACTCATTGAGCACGATGATGCAACACCAGTTATGTATCTACCTTATAGTCCTTTGATCTAGTCTGTATTTCCTCAGCTTGATAATGAGAATGTCATGGGAAATAGTGTCAAAAGCCTTGCGAAAGTCAAGGTTTTTTGCATCCACTTCTCTTGCCCCATCCACAGACCTTGATACCTTATCACAGAAGAAAATCAGATTGGTCAGGCTTGACTTCAGAGTCAAGCCTGACCAATTCACTGACATAGAAGTGACTGACTTACTGACAAAGTTCCAGCTAGACTTCAGAGGGCTGTTTCTATCAGAGAGATTTGTATATGTGGCACAAAATAACCACATGAGAAAAATCTTGTCAGTGATATAACCCAAGCTATAGTGTTTTGGTAAACAACTCATAAAATACAGGTTCTGCTTTTAGTTATATAACTGAGAACAAGCAATTAGTGCTTGCATCTTAAAGTCAGTAAAAGAAAATATGAAATGAAGGAAATCTGAAAATCTCTCTATCTATTAGATAAGAACAATTGCTAAGGAATAGCCTGGCATTTGGTCACATAAAAAACCAAATATGTAAGTTTAAGATGAATTGAAAAGTTAAGGCCGGGAGTATCCATGCCATACTGATGCTATGATTCAGACCCCTTTTGGCCATGTCTAAAATTTCCTGTTTGAGACTAACAAATGCAACTGAGCATTAATGATCTACCTGTAGCCCTTTACTGTAGATCATTGATTCTCAGCCAGGGTGCCATGACATGCTGGTATACCTTGAAATCCTTTTAAGGGTGTTGTGGGGTACCAGGAAATGTTATTAGCACTGCGAATTGAGCAACCATGATTTACAAGATAGACCTGGGCATCTTTACATGTGCTCCAGGGTGTGGAGGGTGCATTTAAATTAGAGCGGATCTCGGGAGCTGCTCTAAAACGCCCACAGTGTCTTGTGTATTCAGCATCCCTGCACTTCAAAATGGCAGCGGGAGTGAATTAACTAAAGCTTGTTTGACAAGCTTTAGTTAAAGTGTCCCCACAGCCATTTTGAAATGCAGGGACGCTGAATGCACATGAGTGCTGCAGCAGACTCAATTAATCAAGTCTGCTCTGATGCCTTCGAATTAGAATGCATCAGAGCAGGTGTCGGAAATGTGTATAGGTGCCCAGAGGTTTCAAATAGAAGTCCAAAGCATCAAAAATGTTCTGAGCCGTTGTGGTCTTTCTGAGTTCTTTGTAACAGAAGGATTGCTCTATTATTTTTCTGTAGTAAAAAAACCCAAAACAACAACAAAAAAACAAGTGAAAACTAAGACCTGGCCTTTTCCAAGGGGTGTGTCGAATCTTTTGAGGGGTGCCTCAAATCTAAAAAGATTGAAAACCACTGATCAGATACTGGAGAGCAATGCAGTGTTTATTCCATGAAATAGCTACTGTTGTAGGCAAAGAAAAGATGCATACAATTAAACTAAGGCTTCTGTCTTATTCAGGACAGAAATTATTGGCATAAAGGCAAGTAACTATTCCAACTTGCATTAAAAAAATGTTGTGTACCTCATTTGGAACAGTAAATATAAAGGCACTGTGTGTGTGTAGGCTATAGATATACTCACCCATTAAGTTAGTGCAAACTTTCCTGATAATGCCAAAGAATTGAAGAAGGTGCATAATGGGGAAAGTCTCAAATGGATACAGAGTATGGTGTGTTTGAAACGAGAATTTAAGGAGACAAGTCCATTTACTCCAGTAGTCTGGTGGTCCAAGAAAAAAAAATTCACTTGAGGGTTTTGACAAGCCATGGATTACCCTGGAATACATGGAGAACAACATACCGGCTGGTCTAATGCCAGGCATGTCAATGAAAAAAGCCAAACAAATGAAGAATGTTCACAATCCATGTGATTCTTTGACATATCAAATAGTAATTGCACAGATCTGCAAGGGATTAACAAGTTGCCAGATAAAACTGTCCAGAAGGGTATCCAGGCAACCGGTTCATCTGGAAAAGAGGATCTCAGATGACAACTATCTTTATTTCCAGAATAAAGACTGTGGGTAATCCAAGGTAACAAAGAGATTGTCCAAGACCTATTTGAAGTATTTGAGGATAAGTCTATGCTGCAGTAGTTGCTGCGATGGCCGTACAGCACAGACATCACCCAAACTAGTTTTAAACCAATAACTGGAGAAAGAAAGAGCTCAGTGTCAGCCAACTGCCCAGGATTTGTTCAGCTTTTAAGGCAGACTTAGCAGCTCATGCTGAGTTCCATGCTGCTGTGGCTAGACTGTAGTTGAGCTGACTAGTTTAAAGCGAACTTAAGATATGTCTCTGCTGTGCTACCATCACTTCACTGCAGTTGTGCCATTAAAGTGGGGCACAACTGCAGTGACCCTAGAGAAAGAGAAACATCAGCTGACCCTAGAGAAACAGAAGAAAATTCAGCTCTTCAAGGACTGGGTGGGAGAGCAAGTATATTGGAGAACATAGCCATAAGGCCCGAAGTCAGCAAACCCATGCAGCACTTGGGAGAAACTGTCACAAACATCCTGGAGTGAATCAAGTTAGGGGTTGTCCAGAGACAGGCAGCCAGATCCATGCAGGACTGAAATAAACTCTATCTGGCTAACAAAGTGAGTGGGAAAACTTTCAAAACCCATAGACTACCTAGGTATCTTCTTATTTCAGAATGTGGTTCGCAGACCTCTGGGGTCTGCAAAGGACAACTATGATCAATCAAAAGTATGTGAATAGCCACACTTCCAAGTCAAAGGGGTCTGCACCTCCATTTGAAATTTCCAAAGGGGTCTGTACCTCCATTCAACATTTTTTAGGGGTCTGCAAGTGAAAAAAGGTTGAAAATCACTGTCCTAGCCAGTTTAAATTACTAAAAAAGAGGCTGAGTCAGGGCTGGTATCATACCTCTAGGGTGAGAATGACTGTGCTATTAGACATCACCTCTGAGCAAGCCAGCTATGCAACCAGTGCCTCCAGAAGCGTTAAGTAGATGAAGTCTTATGTCAGTACTAGCCCATTAACAAAAAGTGCAAGACCTTCTCTTTCTAACCAGGCTGGCTTCTAAACATTGATGAAAAATTCCAAGTCTTTCTGGGGTTTGCTGCTCATCTGCCATTGTTCCTCCTAGATCTAATCACCTGCCACTCTTCATTCAAATGTCCTCACTTCAGTCGGACTGGAGTTATGCTGGTCTGAAGAGCATTATTCCTTCTGTGCTTCACTACAGTCTCCTTGGCTACAACTTCTTCATTCCGGATGCAGTTGGTAATATCTTTATTTTTTATGATCTATTTGTATCTCAGACCATTCTGCATTAATTTTATGAAGGCAAAAGCAGTCCCTATTGTTAAAGCAAGAGGAATGTGTGTGATCTGTTAACTCCATCAGCAAGCTGCTGAAAACCATACTATGCTATATTGGGGCACAGCCTCAGGCTTTTTGTTGGTACCATATTTTATTCTGTATCAAAGGTATTTGGTTTACAGGAAACCCTCACTATTCGCGGGTTCGGCATTCGTGGTTTCAAATATTCATGAATGCCAAACCCGTATTTTAAATGCACTTTATATACTTACAGGAGCTCCTCTGGAGCTCTGTGCTTGCTGCTGCTGGGCTCCCACTGCTGGGCTCCCGCCGATGCCGTCAGAGCTGGACCCCCCCCCCGCCGCTGTGGACCCTGTGTTCATGAACGCAAACTGTGTTCATGAACGTGGTGCTTTATTCACAGATTTCACCATTCGCGGGGATCACGAGAACATATCCCCTGTGAATGGTGAGAGTCGCCTGTACTGTTAACAGGAATTAACTAGGGAATTAAAAAAAAAACCAATAACCTTTAAAAAAAATTAGCCAGGAAATCCATACGTATCCAGTTCCTCTGGGGCTATATTTCAAAGAGTTCCTTTCCTCTGTGCTGAAGACATCCAAAGCATGCCTAGCTCATTGACAAGATGCCAGAACCTTCGGGGCTGCAAGTGATTTGTATGAACTGGAACAGGTTGTGCCAACCATCCCCAGGATGCACTTGTCATGTGGTGTGGTTGAGTACCAGCAGTACCTCTTCCATGTGTTGGGCTTGATCCTTGGCTGCTATAAGTAGTATAGCCCAAGGGTTAGGGACATTTTGCAGTGAGGACTATTTTAATGGAGCTTAGCTCACAGCTTGGGGTACTTCCAATCAGGCCTGCACCGCTGTCACTAGAGACAGAGCTGGAGCCATAATCACCACTCCCCGCCTCAGAAATGCTACTGAAGCCTCACCACTTCAGAAACACTACCAAAGCCGTCCAGCTTGGCGG